ATTTTTCCCCCAAAAAAAAAAAAAAGGAAAAAAAAAAAGAGAGAAACCCACACATCTTACTGCACTCCACCTTAAAATGCATCATATTGGGTTTGTTTATAACAGCACAGAATTCCAAAAGTCAAAATGAAATAAAGCAGGTATTTTAAAGATTTAAGAGCCGTTATCAAAAATAAATTACATTTTTTTCAAGATACAGAAATGCTGCTATGATGGCTGGGAGCCCAGTAACCTTTCAATAGCTGCATTGATATCACCTCCTGTTGCTATTAGTGCTTGCAAGATTGCTTCACGGTTCAAAAACCCCATAGCACTGAGTTGTTCCAGTTGTTGCTGGAATCTGATTTCTGGATTCTGTAGCTGTTAAAGAAAAAAAAATTAACCAAACTCTGAGCTACGAATGCACTAGACTGTAGCTTGAAACATTTTCAACATATTTAAAAGTCCATTACCACTTTATTTTGTTGTTTTAAGTCATCTAATTTATACCTAAACAATCGTGTCAGAGATCATATGCTTAAAAAAATAGCTTTAATAAAACTCAACCATTATTTTACATAAATTTAAGAATCTAATGAACATGGAGAACTATATATACAAATATTTTAGAATTAGATAATTTATTTTGTACCTATTGACCAACTGGTAATTATAAAAGCCAGTGTCCTTGTGTATAAAATTTAATAAGGCTTAGAATGTGGACTCAATTTCTGCATTGGCCAAAGTCTTCAGAAAAAGAGTTCCAGCTTCAGGCCCATAAACTATTTCTGACAATTCAGCTGCATCAAATCTTTTTCTCAGAAATGAGGTAAGAAAAAATACATATGTGATCAATCAATCCTGGCCAATCTGATAATGGGGAAGCCTGTTGATAGTTCAACTTATATAACTAACAACTCTGTCCAATATCTAAAATCTCTTTTTCTGTCCATGAATATTTACTGAGCCAAAAGATATGCTAGGTATCAGGGATACAAATACTTGTATAAGATAAAACCCCACCCTGTTTATTATATACACTGTAAAATTAGAAAAGCATGTTCTACTTTGCCATTCAGAGGTTTGGAGGCAACCTTCTATAACAGGTTTGAAGTGACAATCATCTTTGTATAATGGCAGACTCTTAGTAAAGCCAGTAAATGTTTCCAGATGTAAGAACATTATAAGCCCACATTTTTTAGCCGTACTTGTGAGGTGTATATATGTAACACAATTTAACCAACAGAGGTAGTAGTGGGTCGGTGGGGTGGGATGAGGTAGTTAGGATTTTTTTAAGCCAAAATACAAAGAATAGATACAACACAGTTGTTCAGAAGGTTATTTAGGATAGCCACACTTCTTATTCCTCCCTGACAAACTTCTATGAAATTAACACATTTCAAATAATTTTCATAAGGACTCCAAAAAGAATCCATTTTTAACAGCAACTTCTAAAATATAAGGCAGTCTACAGCCATGCCACCCTGAACAAGCCCGATCCTGTCTGATCTCGGAAGTTAAGCAGGGTTGGGCCTGGTTAGCACTTGGATGGGAGACCAGCTAGGAAGACCAGGTGCTGTAGGCATAAAAAACAAAAAATAAAAAGGGAGCGAAGGGATTGTAAACTGACAAAGTCCTTGCAATCTGTGAGGTCAACCAAGGTTGCTTCGACTAAAAAATAATAATTAATAAAAAAAATATAAGGCAAAGTTTGAGCATTTGTTTCCTACAACCAAAATGTTTCCTTTAGTGTCAAATATGTAGCAAAATTAACAATTCTTATAATGCCTGTTCTAGAATCAATATCTTTAAGACTGTGCTTTCCATCAGTCTAAACCCTAAAGAACTGTCACTTTTTCCTTTTTTTATTTTTGGAAATTTCTAACATTAAAGAATAAAAAATGTGAACAGAAAAGTATCACTACCTGAGGATTCACTCCAGCAAGAGCCTGTAGCATTTGTTGGATAAACTGCTGGTGTCCAGGTTCAGTGGTTCCTGCTGTGGGACTTGGGTTTTCACTAGGGGCAGAGCTAGAGCCATTGGTTCCTGAAGAGCCTCCAGTACTTCCTAACGCTCCCAGGCCAGGAGTAAACCTAAGGAAAGCACAAATTGGTAATAAACCTAACTTCTTAAACCAGTTACATTTTAACATATTAGCTAAGTTATACTTTTTAAAAATGAGAGTGTTTTTAACTTTGAAAGCCCTGTCTTAAAAACAATTATCAGCAAAGAAAAAAAGGCAAAATGATACTAAGTCTGAAATTCTCCAAGAGAGTAACCCTCATGTACTTTCATAGTCTTCCCCAAATAAGCCTACCCTGGGATGAGGCCGGGGGCTTCCGTTGCTAATGTCTGTAAACCCTGCTGTATCTGCAACAAGGCCTGCATTGCTCTAGGGTTTGACATTGCTGATAAGGTATCAGGGTTCTGCATCTAAGGAAGAAAGAAAACTGGTGGTTAATTACAATCAGTGAAGGTAAAATTTAAATGTTTTCTTTGCGATGTTTTTAGAGAAAATCTAAAACCTTACTGCTAGACACTGGCAATCCTTAATTTTTTTTTTCCAAAATAAAAACAAACACCTCCTCTTTGAGAGCAAACCTAGTGTGCAAATTGTTATCTGACCTCTCAAATCCATCATGAAAACCATTTTTCATAATGAAAAACAATCAGGAGCTCCTCTGGAAGCCACAACTATTCTTTCTCCAATAGAAGATGAAAGTATTATTTCTAAGAGACAACGCCAAATGCACAATTTACATAAAATGGTAATAAGGTGAAAGCCACATATTCCTCCTGACCAAGTGTTATCTGTTGCTGGTGTAACTATTTTACCAACTATACTTTAAAACAATAGTTCCAAATTTGAAGTTAATACATGTGTTCTGAGTTCAGCTTCACTACTTTCAAATATATACCACGTGACTGACCAAAAGATAGGCTTACATTACAATAGATCAAGGACACTAATGAACCTTGAATAATGGTTTACAGGCCTGACCATCATTTACAAAATATTTAAAAGCCCTAGAAATACCAGTTTCAAAACACCAAGACTGACTTCTCTTTTATATTTTTATATAATAAAATACCATAGCAACCTCAAGTACTGTTTAATAATAAAACCTTCCCTATATGACAACACTGACAATTTTAATCTTGCTAATTCCAAGTTTGAGGAAATGAGATCTATCCCTTGAAAAACAGGCATTCTATTAAATTTGTAGGAATTAAAACATTACAAAGACACCAAAAACCTGTAAAATCAGCTAGGGTAGCTCTCTCCTATTACTCGAGATTAGTTAAACCATAATGTGTAACATGACACAATGAAGCACTTCAAAGTTAGTAAAGTGAAAGGAAATGGTGTATGGTATTAACAAAGCATTCAAAATCCTAAATCCTCAAAAGCAAAAACAAAATGGTCCTTTCCTCAGAATTTACGTTTAAGAAATACAAGCAAAAGAGCAGCAGTGAAATGGGGATCAGTTAAGATCAAGCTGAATTCTCTGCAAATTGACAGCATTATCAGACGCTATTTTATGTTTTGCTATCCGTCAGAGAAGAGAAAGGAAAATGTTTATCATCAAACTTTTTCACGCAAATCATTACCGAAGATAGCTAGCATCTTTTCTTACTCACTTGTTGGAGGAAAGTTGGGAGCTGTTGTCTCATTTGTTCTTGAAGCTGAGGATTTCCAGCAAATAGGGGATTATTCAGCATCATCTATGGGGCAAGTGTTCAAACAATTTTAACTGGAAATATCTGAAAGAAGTAATGTACCTTGTTTAATAGTCTATCTTCCCCCCCAAGTGCCTAACCTGGCACTTAAAAGAGAGGAAGGTAGAACATGAATAAAAAAGGGAAAATACTGTGTCCACAAGAAGGATCTCCAGGAAAAAACAAAAACAAGGCATCTTCTCTCTCAATGAGAATGGTGATTATGGTAATGACATGCAATATCCTAAAAAATAAAAGCAATCATTTTCTTAGGCTTTTCCTTGAACAAAGGTGAATATCTGCCCTTGAAAAGAAAAATGGAAGTAACTGGCATTCATGAGGATACATCCTCTGCTACACTGACAGAATAAACATAAGCATCAATACATAAAACTACACACAGCTTGCTTAGACAACTCGACAAACAAGTGGCAAGCAGAGAAAATCCAGATCTGGAACCACTATATCTACCTGCCTACTACAAAACAGCTAATATTAGGTCCAGAAAAATAACACCACAGAACAGTAACCACCTAGCCAGAGAAATGGAGCTGCTAAGTGAAAATCAGCCCAGGACTAGCACCAACAGATTTCTGGGGGAAATAGTACCTTAAGACCTGAAACATGTAAATCCATTTGAGAACACCAAGATTAGCCTCTGGATTTCACCTCACTATCACCAGAAATGAGAAAAGTGACATGCCCTCTAACCTTCAAATAGATGTTAAAATTAAAAAGTCAGGGTCAATATTAACATCATGCTAGATAACTGAAAATGAAATTACAATACACAATCAGCAGAACCAGAAACTAGTAAATTCTCACGGCTTTGAAAGAGACAAATTTTTATCAGTCTCCACCACCCCCTACCCAATGAAGAGTCAACTAACAATGATTTACTGATAGCCTATTTACTGGCCCAAAGTTGGGGAGGGAGGAAGAATGATCTTTGCCCTCAAGTAGTTAACCATATTTGAGAGTAATTATATATAACTGCTGGAGGCAGAGAGAATTCCTCTCTCCTTCCTTTAGTTTATTACTGTTACAAAGTGGACTATTTAATTTTTTTTAAGTGTCTACAGCAGGAAGAAGTCAGACAATGTTTTATGGATACACAGTATTTATTTCAAAGTTATCAATAAGTTCACAGTAAATGAAGTAATACATACTTGAAATCAACAAACCTGCTTCTTTAATAGTTCCAAATACTTTTTATTATGAGCATATTAATGAAGTTATCACATTTATCTTCCAGAATTCATGTTATTTGAAAAAGCGTGTCACCTTAATCTTATTCATTCTTTCTCAATCATACATTTGATTAGGACATCTCTCCTAACTTACCTGTTTATATAACAAGTTTTTAAATTTGGACTTTTTTAAATATCTAAAAATCAAAATCAGAACAGAGAACTACAAACTTTATAACCAGAGTACATTGTAAACATATCTAAACTGTCTATAATAAAAGACATTCATATCTAGCCTTCATTGTCAACATTTTGCTTTAGAGTAAAAATATAATAAAAGAAAATGCTCAAGTCACTTTATAGATGGAGAACTGTTAGTAAAAATGGCTGGGCATGTGCTTGTTAAAATCAAAATTTTAAAACATGATGCACATTCGATGCTAATTATTACTTAGTCAAATACACATTTAAAAACATACAAATAGGATCATTTTATATACATATGTTCCACATCTATTTTAAAGTGCTATAATCACAGTAAAGTGTGGCATTTGATACTAAGAACTCAGTCTAATAATTTTCATATGAATAAAATAATTTTTCATAAAATGTACCTACAATATATAAAAGAATATTTAAAAATTCACCTAAAAACTTGTTCTCTATTTCCAAGTTCACAAATTTTTAAGAGGGCAGAAGTTATTGCTAAGGATTATAGCTCAAAGATAAAATAAAAACCATTTATTTGACATAATGAAGTGATTATCTTTAAAAGCTTTTAAAGTTTTGGTAATAGAAATAAACTATAAAGAAATCTATTTCAAATTCCTAACACTCTACAGAAGCCATTTTTAATAAACAGCAAATATAAACTACAAGTGATCAAGGCTTATTTTACATTTTCCAAAGTTTTTCAAGTACAATTGTTCTTACACCTAGGGGTACATCAGAATCACCTACGGAACTTGGGGTGTGGGGGAATCCAATGCAGTTATAGTGAAATCTCTCAGGATCGAGCCAAGAATTTTTTTTTTTCATTTTAAAGCACCCAAAAATGATGCTAAATGTTCAGCTAGAGTTGAGATCCACTAATTTTATTAGTTATGGTCTCTTTAGTAACAAGTTAGAAAATGAATAAAGGACCAGTATACTAATGGGGTGGGGGGTGGTGGTATATTTATAACATTAAGAATAAGAACAACGTTCCCACAAATTTCCCTCTGCCTTTAAATAAACAATTTCAGACTATTTTAAAACTGCCATTTTGAACATGACTATTACTCAGAATCTGTGTGACCTAATAAATAAAAGTATTTCAAATCTATTAACATTGTTCTTAATCACTTTCAAAGTTTATAATTCACTGAAGAATATAGCCTCAAAAGGGAAAGCAATCCAAAACTTTTGTATTCATCTTTTAAACCAACATATGTAGATACAAAGTAAACCTGCATTTCTTTCTAGCCACTGAGTAGTAGAGATAAAGCTGCAAAGAAATGAACTGTCCAAAAATTGGAGATGCACTTTACCTACTTTTCTAGTGTGTTAAGGTAGCACACAACATAAATATGCCACAATCACAATTATCTAATTAGGCTATTTCAATTTACACTGCACAGTCCTTCCCAATACAATTACAAACTCACCTGTGCAGCAAGGTCAGGGTTCTGGCTTAGTGACTGCATCATGCTTCTCATGTAGGGGGCAGACAACATGTTTTGCATAAGTTGTGGATTTTCAGTTATTTGTTGCAACAAGCTCTGCATTCCTGGTGTGTTGAACATACTAGCTGAAAGTTTGTTTAAAAAAAAACAAAACATTGTATCATAGAAAATATATGTAAACAAAAGTTAAAGTTTTAAAACACAATATATACTGTCTATAATTTTAGCAACTGCAGATGAGTACACATATTACTTATCAACTGAATAAAAAAATTTAAAACTAAAATGTCCAAAACTACATATCCAACATATGACATTAAAGGAATGCTTATGGATTTTAAACATTCTGGTTCCACTCACAGTAAAATCAAAACCAATAGAGAAAAGTTAAGTTTTATAGTCAATTTAAGACAAAAACAAGATCTGGTCAAAATTACTATTGAAAAATCCCAGAAAGTGAAAAAGTCTGAGCCAGCTTTTCCTCCAAGATCACTTAATAAGAATCATATTCAGCACTCAAAATGCTCACACTTAAGGACGCCTTCTTGCCAACGACAATAAATACAGACCTCCAACCCACTTTCACTGAGAAATGGCTCTCACTGAGCAAAATGGCAGAACACTTAACTTTTCAGAGACCGGACAGAGTAGTAACTAAGAGCAGTGTCTGGAGCCAGAGTACCTGGGTTCAAATCTAATCTATGTAACTTTAGACAAGTTATTTGGCTTCTTCATACTTCGGTTTCTCCATTGGTAAATTAGTAAACAGTACACACTTCATAGGGTAGTACAGACAAATTAGTTAATATGTAAAATGCTTATTACTACTACTCTTCAGTTTTTCCTGTTTGTTTTTTTGTTTTTTTTTTTTTTGTGAGAGTTACAGCTAATTTTATGTGAATTCAACTGTCCTTGAAAATGAATTACTCTGTTCTTCATATACCCAGATTTTCACTTGCCGAATAGATATACTCAAACTAAAACATATGCTTAAACTCATGTGTACTTAACTTATTAGCTTTTTCATTTCCCTTATGCTTATCCCATCCAATATTAGTTTTATTAGGCGTAAAACATTTGACTTTCCACTTATCTTTCTAGTTTATTATAATCGTTTTTTAATAATTTTTGTTTTTCCTATTTTTCTCATGTTGTTTCAATTAAGTTTTTATCCACAGCCTAGAGTCCAAGAATATTCTAAGACTGAAGCTGACAAATATAGCCTGCAGGGCAAATACAGCCCATGACCTATTTCTGTGTGGCCCACAGCTAAAAATGATTTTTATATTTTCAAATGGTTAAAAAATATTTTGTGAAATGCAAAAACTATATGAAATTCAAACTTCAGTATCTATAATAATGTTTTATAAAACACAGTCATGCTCATGCATTTATTGTCCATGGCTACTTCTGCACCACAAAAGCAGAGTTCAATGGTCTCCAAAGAGGCTTATATGAACCTATCGTATTGCTCCGTACTGATGCTCAGTGTACCACAAATCAGTGACTCAGTTATACCTGACACCACAATCACTGTAGCATGTTTTTTTTTTTATTTCTTTTTTATTATTGGTGCATACCAATCACACGTCCGAAAAAGAAAATGGAAGAATTAGACTACGAATGTCATACTTTTAAGGCATGATGGAGTACAAATTATCTTGTCAAATGAGATGGCAAAACATTGTAGCTATTGTGCAATGACACTAAATAAACAATATACTTCAACATTGCTAGATTAAGCACCCATTATAGTATTCCCAACTTGCAAGAAAGTCAGAAAAATATAAAATTTATTTATTTTTAATTTACTTTTTAATTGAAGACATGATTTTATTTTTTTAATTTAATTTTTCCCCTGTCTGCCTCCCATGCAATATCCCATCACAGCCAAATTTCTTCACAAAAATTAAATATGAAAAGACTGGAAGAAGCACAGTTAAGTTTCCAAATGGCTTGTTAGCCATGCAAGGAAAGCAGTATACTAATGATTAATTAGCAGGAGTTTATTAAATTTTGACTGTAGCAGCCAAATAAATGTGTCCAGAGAAAGTAAACTTGTTTAAAACTAGCCTTTTAGGGAGAACAGTTTCTCAAGAGTTAAGGACACCGGGCTTAACTGCAATATTCAATTAAAGACAATGCAAATTATTCTGAGTGGTATTCCTTGGTTCTCCATGAGCTGACAGATGTTACTGATACTGCTCAGTTCTTGTTTATTTGGGGAGTCAATGCCAAGTTTGAAAGGACCCAAAAATTAGCCACTATCAATAGTCTGCATGGAGTAACTACGAGTCAACTATTTCGAAGTTGAGAATATACTAGTAGTTCACCAAAATCTGAAGTAGAATCTGACAAAATGTGCTACTCTAATAATGATAAAAGTACATAAGGAGTAAAAGGATTAGCAGGACAAACGTACAAAGTTGTAAAACTATAATGTATTTACAGACTACAGTTATGCATTGTCTTAGTCACTGGCAGGTACTCAAAAATATTTTGAACTTATGTGACTCAACCAGTAGAAGTACCAATGTAAACATCATTCATTTACCTGTGAACTAAGCCATAGTAAATTCCACAAATTTTTGTCAGAAATATCCTGACTTACCCAACCACAGAGTAGCTTGATGGCTTAGCAGAGGTGTGAAGTTTTACTGCAATTTTTTTTAGTCCAGAGCTAAGACTGAAATTCTTCTGAACCACTCAACCACCAGTAAGAAAGAATAAATGACTTTGGGAATCACTTTTTGCTAGAGACTTGGTAATGTTTCTCAACTAATTCAACTCAAATTTACAAGGCAAAACAGCATTTACATGAGAAATTCATACTGTGGTAAAGTCATTTCGACAAGTGAAACTGCTCGAATCACAAGCAATGTCAAGATGCTTTATATACATTCTCGTACTGTCAAAAGTTAAAATGAGATCTCCATTCCCACAAATTTGCAGTGGATATATTTTTTAGTTCATTCCAGCAGCACTTTCTGGACCTTGTGCGAGTATAAAGAAAACATCCACATTTCAAAATTCACTTAACTCTAACTGAGGCACTACCATCTAACCTTCAATTGGAAGTGATTAATCTGCAATGACATGCTAAAAGCAAAGAAGAATCTAACAGAATACTATAAATGCTTTTCAACTGATAAGTATGCTATTAAAATTAAAATATACTTGGAATGAGAACATACAGTTGGCCCTCCGTATCCATGGGTTTTGCATCTGCAGATTCAATCAACCATGGGTTGAAAATATATTTGGGGCGGAGGGAAAATATATTTGGGGAGTGAGGAGGGAATCCCAGAAACTTTCTAAAAGCAAAACCTGAATTTGTCATGGGCCCAGCACTCTGCTGAATCAATGGGAATGAAGTGATATGTAGGCATGCCTTGCTGTAGTCTACATACAAATGTAGGTTATATGCAAATACTATGCCATTTTATATAAGGGACTTGAGCATCAACAGATTTTGGTATCCACAGAGGGTCCTGAAACCAATCTCCCATGATACCAAGGGGCTGTATTTAAATCAAAGAAGTAAAATTTCAATATGTATCAGTATTAACAGATGAACATCTGCAATCGATTTTGACAACAGGGAACTATGTGAATACCAATTAAACATGTCACCCCTAAAAAAAGAATTCCATTCCCATCATTCACAGATAAGTATGAAAAAAAATGTTTTTAATTCTATCAATAAAAAAACTTGTGGAAATTTGTTTTCTCTTGTAATGTAGTAGTCCTGATTTTGCCTCTTGGCCTGAAAGAGGTCTTTTACAGGAAAAATTTGCTGACCCCTGCTTTAAGATCTCTCTACCTTCTAAACTAAGTGCTTACAAAAGAGGGGTCAAGATATAATGTGTGTGTATCCAATTTCAAAGAGTTGAGTTAAAAATCATACTAGTGCACAAACATGCTAACAATTTCAGGCCAACATTAAGTTCGGTTTTGCTATTTCTTGTTTTCCTTTGATGGTAACTCAGAGTATCAAGCTGTTAAATAAAAATCTGAGTAAAATGTTGTAAAACAGATTTGTTAAACAAAAGTTGTTATTGTAGAAAATCATGGTATAGGAGAAAAAAACAATTCACCTATCTGATGAAATCACTGCTCTTATCAGCTCTAAGAACTTTAAAATGAATAAAGCGTCTCCCTCAAAAGATTGTCAATAACAATCAAATAAGCAGTAAGCAAAATAGATTTTTTTTCCCTTGATTTAAAAATGGTACTACTGAACACACAGTATAAATATATATGCCTTACTGTTAAAATGTACAACTGAAACTTAACAGATTTTGTTAACCAATGTCACTAAATAAATAATAAATGGTGCTACTTCAGATGTTAACTAAATTTACTGTGGCAATTATTTTATAATACATACAGATATTGAATCATTTATGTTGAACACCTGAAACTAATGTTATCTTAATTATACCTCAATTTTAAAGAATGGTTTACTTCGATTTTTATAAAACCTATATTATATCCAGATACTTCATGGTATCCGCTGTATTCCACAAAAGAATATACACCACTGTGACCACCAATTACTCTCTCTGATTTCTCTCAGTAATGAA